CGCTGGTTCTGGCGGCTGCGGGAGGCCTGGCGCGGCCGGCCCTGCCGCGTGAAGGCCATGAACCAGCCCTCGTGCCGGGCGTTCTGGAAGGCCGTGTAGTTGTTCTCCAGCACAATCTCCGTGAACACGCAGTCCTTGCTTTTCCCGCTGGGCTGCCCGGGAAAGGAGGAGAGGAGGGAAGTTTGTCCACCGCCTTTCCCGCTGCTCTGCCTCCCGGGCGTCTTTTAAGACCGCGGAGGGCTGGGCGCCCCAGGGTTTCTGCCTGGTGAGGTGGTGCCCTGGCTGGGGAGGCCGTGCAGGGAGAGGCGGACCGGGTGTGCTTGGAGTCAGACCTGCACTGAAAGGCAGGCTTGTCGTTTGGAAGCGGAGCTTCATTTCACCAGGATGAGACGGAAAGATCTAGGGCAGCGGTTCTCGACCTTCCTAATGCCGCGACCCTTTAATACAGTTCCTCATGTTGTGGTGACCCCCAATTTCAGTGTTACAAATTGAACATAATTAAAGCATAGTGATTAATCACAAAACAACATGTAATTATATATGTGTTTTCCGATGGTCTTAGGCGACCCCTGTGAAAGGGTCGTTCGACCCCCAAAGGGGTCTCGACCCACAGGTTGAGAACCGCTGATCTAGGGGATTGTGTGGTTTCCTGCTTAACCAGTGGGCACTCGTACACAAGAGCGGCCCTCGGTGGGGGGATGGCGTTGCTGGGTGGAGGGGAAGGAGGCACCATGCTCTGATGAAAAGAAGGGGCAAACATTTATGGACACCATACAGGCAGCCCTTAGACCAGTGGTTCTCAACCATGGCTGCACATTAGAATCACCTGGGAATCTTTTTAAAATCCTGATTTCTGGACCTCATCCCCCAGAAATTCTGTTTCTTTGTTATGGGATGAGGCCACAACATTAGTAACAAAGAAACAGAATTTCCAGAGGATGAGGCCCAGAGATCAGGATTTTAAAAAGATTCCCAGGTGATTCTAATGTGCAGCCAAGGTTGAGAACCACTGCCTTAGACTTTACAGATAAGCCTGATGCTATGCCCATTTTTATAGATGAGTAGCCCGAGGCTTGACAAAAATAAGTAAATATTTGGTGAGAACAGCCAGAACCGGAAGCCAGGATTGACCAATGCTAAAGAAATGGAGTTCTGCTCAACGGTGCTGGGCCCACCACCGCGGCGTAGGTTATACTAGCACGCGGTGCCACTAGGTGCACGGTTACACTAGCAGGTGGTCAGTGTGCATCTCGCTGGCTGGGTCCATGGAGCCCACTGACCTTGGGGGAGCTTCTGACCTGGTCTGAATGCCCACTTTCAACCCCAGTTAGCCCTTAACCCGCAACACAGGGGCTGTAACATTATGTAGGTGCTGAAATTCTTACTCATGGAGCTGGGAAATGCCCCAGGGATCTGAGCAAGGGCCCTGTGGACCAGTCATTATTCTCAGAGTGCTTGTCAATCCAGAGGGACTCCCTGACACGGAGAACAGAGTGACAGTGGTGGGTGAGAGCAGGAGAGTCATGTCCCCCGTCACCCTGCAACAGGGATGCTGCCAGCCCAGGGCACCCCACCCCAGGAGGATCCAGTCAAGGGTCTGCTCTCTCCTCCGGCCTCACCTTTCCGATGAGCTTGCCCCTCTTGTTCATGCAGATGTACTTCTCGCTCTCAGCCCCCTTGATGCGCACCCGGCTCCCAAAGGTGTCTGTCTCCACTATGAGCTTGGCTGTCATGCGGGAGAGACTTCTGTCTATGAGGGTTGCAAGCCCAGGGGGTGGGAGCCCCCCACAACCCACAACCCACCTGACCTCCGACCTCAGGTGGGGAACATGGGCAGGCCCTGACACAAGATCCGGGATGAACCAGGGGAAGCCAGCCAGGGGGACGGGTGGCCTCAGATGAGGGCTGGGCCTCACCGAACTTGTTGCCGTCTTCAGCGGTGGCGGAGATGCGACGCCCGGTCACCTGCACGTGCTTGCCGCTGGTCCGGCTGTAGAGCTGGTACTCACGGATCTGCCGCCGGCTCAGCTGGTCGGTCATGGCGCCCTGGTCCCTCACGTACTGGTTAAAATTAGGAGACGGGTGATTCTCCCCCTTTGCGGTTACCAAGGGAAAAATAGTGTCAATTTGCTTTGGGTGACACCACCGCTGGTCCATCCAGGGGTGAGGGGTACAGAGGTGAGTGTGGCGGGGCAGGCCATTTGTCCTGGGAGGTCGCGGTGCAGGGTGAAGGGGGCATATAGCCATGACTTTCTTGGGCCAGTGGATGAGCCAATCATGACCTCTCGGCTCCCTGTCCAGCCTGCAGCAGAGAAGTGCTGGCTGCGCAGGCCTGAGGACTCCTGGTGACAGAGTGCAGACTTGGAGTCGTGACTCTGGGAGCTGGAGGGAGCCTGCAGTTCTGTATCTGACCCCCGTATTCTATGGAGGCGGTGCACAGGCCACACGGCTAATTAGAGACAGAACCCTGTCCTGCCCCTTGCGTGGAGCTTGTCACCCCTCCAGAACTCCGGGCGTTGGCTCTGTTAGCCAGGACAACCAGCTTTCCTCCATCCTCCCCGCTAGCCTTGAAGGACCCACCCCAGCACATGTGCGCACACGCACACGCACACGCACACGCACACGCACACGCAGCGGCTGGTCTGTTAGGGTCACTGGCGAGCATTGTGGGGCTGTAAGACCCTTGTCTCTAGCTCTGCGGGCCCTGGAAGCATGTCTTAGTAGCCTGTGGGGTCCTGAGCTATGCCCGCTCCCCCGCCTCTCCCCTGGGTGCTCGGGGGCTCTCAGAGAAGCCAGACCCCCTTCCAGTGTTCCTCCCCCTGCATGGGTGCGGCACCTCCTTAGTGGAGGGAGGCCAAGGAGTTACGAAGGTGCTGTCAGCAGTGGCCCAAGGGCTGCTCCTGCCAGGCCACCTGCCTGTGGCATAATGTAACAGAGGCCGGTGGGCATCGTGGCTGCCACCCACCCGCTCCTCCTCCTCCCCCGGGCGGGGGGAGGGGCTCTTCCGCCCACACTGCCTGCAAACAAAGGCGGGAGGGTACCTGGCTCTCCTTAGCCCGCTGCGCACTGAGCCGAGGGACCCCTTCCGCCTCTGCAGCCAGGTGCAGCCTGACTGCCTCCCAGCTGCTGCCACCGCCTCAGCCGGCACCGAAATGCTTCTCCACCTGGACCCGCGGCCTGGCTGGGACAGCCTTTCCCAGGCCCCGTCCCTAAGGCCACCCTCTGGACAGAGCTAGACCTGGCCGGCATCTGTTAGGGCCCCCGCTCTCCTGGAGGGAGAGGGGGGAGTGTTGGCTTTGAGGAAGGGGAGGCGAGGGAGCAGCCTGAGGCTGACACTGTGACCCGCTGGGGGTTAACCCTTCGGGCGTCACTGCTCATTTCCAACCGGAGCTGTCCGCAGGCCAGGACCCAGCCTAGGAGACCCCGGCCCGCCCCGCCCCACGCGCCTCCCTCCAAACCCGAGGCCTGAATCTGGGGCGGGAGACCTGCCTCCCTGCCAGGAGGAGGGGTCTGGCTGGCCCGGGACCCTCGGTGGGGACTATCCCCCTTCAAGCCCTGCACAAAGGCAGCCCCACGCCCCCCCACAGCCCACAGCCCACAAGTCGCTCTCCCCGCGGGACCTTGCCTGTCCCTTTCATGTTCCCGCTGTAGGGAACCTCCCCTTCCAGTGCCGCAGACAGCTGCTTGTCAGCCGGCCCCTCAAGCATGGCTGTGGTCCGGCCTGCGGGGCCCCCTCCAGGGGGGTGCGGGGGCACTTCAAGGGGGAAAGGACAGCTTTGCCACCTTC